TGACCGCGGCAATGTCACCGGCAAGCACACCGTCATCCAGGAAGTGCATTGCAATGTCCAGGGTCCTGCCCTGGTGGAGCTGGCTGGCGAGAGGCTGCAAGGCAGCTGCGAACAGCAGCGGCCCGAGCGGGTCGCCCTGCTGAACACCAGAGCAGGACTCCAGGGCGCGAGCTCCAAACTGGAGCCGCGTGTGTTGCCGGTAGCACCAAGTAACCCAGCGTGCCAGAGCAGGGAAGCGGTTTGTAGTTTCATCAAGTACGGTGTCCCGGTGGACACAGTTGAAGGCATTGGCAAAGTCCAGTTTGACCAAAACCTTGCGAGAAGAACCCGCGTGGCGGCTAGTCCAAGCCCGCAGAACATGGACCGCTTTCTCTGCACCTCCTTTGACCGCGACCCCAACCTGAGCCGGCCAGAAATAGGCGCGAGCCTCATCACGGACCAGACTCATCAGGCACTTGCCAGTGAGCCGGCGCAGGAGCTCACCCACAGCAATGGGCCGGACGCCCCCGCTGGCCTTCGGCAGTGCGACCAGCCCAGCCCCGGCCAACACAGGGGCGACACTAGGCGGAGCACGTCCTTGAGCAAGAACATTGACGACAGCAGTGAGCTGCGAGAGGAAGGCCTCATGTCCGCCAGCAATGCAGGCGTCGCGCAAGTGCTGCACACGGAGGCCAGTGGGCCCCGGGGCTGTTTCAGCAGGAAAAGCACGCAGGCAGCGGGCCACCACCTCAGCTGCGACTTCAGGCGCAAGAGGAAGTTCCTGCGGCGGTCGAGCTGCGGGAGGAGCTCTCTGGGGATGAAGGAGTTCCAAAGCCCGAGCAGTCTCAGCGTTGTCAGGGCATAAGCCTTTAGACAACAAGGCCGCGCAGGCTTTTCTGTCGAACCCCTCCCTTCCCCACGCTTCAGCCAGGCCTCGCCGCTCCTCAGGCGTGGGCGCTGCAGAACACCGCTGGCGGTGCTGAGGGCGCGTGTCCCATAAGGACCTGCGCTCCCCCTCCTGCCATCGCTGCATGCGATCCAGGACGAAAGCAGCGACGGCTCTCGCGTGCTTCTTCCCCCGTCGCGCTGGCGCGCAGAGTACACTTTGCGGCAGCATGAGTAGCTCGCGCCAGGCTTCCTCATCATTGCGATGCGCGACAGCAGCCAAGGCACGAGCGAGAAGCTGGTTCCAGAGGTGGCGTGCTTTGGCGGGGACGTGGCGCAAGGTGGCAGTCCGGGCTGCCTGAATGGCTTCAAAGGACGGCAAGTCCAGATCATCAGTATCCATGGGGTCGCCCTCAGCGACAGCAGCAGCCCGAGCAGCAGGGCGGCATGTTGGATGGATGCCAAATTTTTCTGACACACTAAGGCCACAAACCAAACACCTGGTGCGTCCATTGGCTTGCAGCCAGGCCTGTGGCACCTCGCCACCTGCTGCCCCAGCGAGGTGAGCGTCGATGTGCGAGCGCATAGCGGCCACATTGGCCCACCCTCGGGCCCGGGCAGCATCCGAGCACGGGCAGGTGGACACAGGGCAGTAAACCCTACCGACTGCCTTGGCACTTGCAACTCGTGCAGCCGGTTGAGCAGCAGCCGCAGGCCCGGGGGCGGAGCCCGCGCGAGGAGGAGAGCGCTCACGAGGAGGCCGTTCTCCGCCAACAGGCGTGCCCGGTTCAGGTCCCGGATTGCTTGCTTCCCCCACCCTCTTCCCACGATATGGCCAGCCAGACCAGCGCCGCATGCGTCTCCGAAACCAAGCCCCACGTCTACCTTTCCAGACGACAGTGCGGGCAGGGGCCTTCAGGCCCAGCAGCGGGTCCCAGGTAACCCACGCAGCTGGCTGTTGGGCATTCAACATGGCGGCGAAGGCTCGACGCTCTTGGCGGCCCAAACTTGCCGGCAGCCGGTCCAGCTCACCTTCCTCTTCACAGTGACAGACTCCAACTCCACAGGCCGAAATCTGCGCCGCCAGCATGGTCACCCACCACCCTGCGCGACTCATGCCCGGCGAAGGCGCCATGGCCCGGCGCGACGTGCCTTGGTCGAAACAAACGGCGCCCCCTAGCTGCGCACAGCGGCGCCCAAGGGCGGCACCAGGCCCCCCCAGCTGTGCCCCTAGGCACCCAGGAGCAGGCACAGGTTCACGACGTTTCGGGTCCATTAGGGGCCTATCCAACTGGGACGCATCACGTGTTTGGAAGCGATGTGCTGCTGTACCTAAAGGCTAAACCGTCCCTAAACCTTAAACCCTAAACCCTAAATCCTAAACCCTAAACCCTAAACCCTGAACCCTAAAGCCTAAACCCTAAACCCTAAACCCTAAAGCCTAAACAACCCACTTTTCTGTACTTGGGCTCTGGTATGTCTCTGACCTTTTCCCCGTACACGCTTGCGAAACGGGTGGGAAAAAAAAGGCCTAAACATTGGGCATAACTTTCGGGTTCAACGTTGAGAAGAAAACCGAAGCCCTCCACACTAGAACATACCGCCGCAGCGAGCAGGGCGTCAGAGATGTCGCCGGGCATGGATGCTCTGGTTACGCACATGGCGAAACAAAAGCGAGCATCATGAAGCCAGACGCTTTTTTGCGCCGAAAACAACTAAAATTCCTTCCGCCCTAGGCAGGTTCGGAAAAAGCATGGTGGCATCTCAGCGATCGACCTACTAGCCAGGCGTGGCCGCGTGTCCTCTCCCGGAGGCCAAAACACTGTAAAACACGATGTACTCGGCATGTGCGACATGGCATGGACGTTATCATCCCCCCCCCCCCCACCCCAGAAGAGCAAAAAACGCACCGAACTACCAGGCGCCTGAGGGCGCGCTTTGCAACTACTTCGGGACCATGAAGGAATTGTTGGGGCTTGTTGGCGCAGAACTATGTCGGGAGAATAAGGGATTACTGCTTCTAGTATTCCGACCCCTATATGACAGCTACGGAACATTCCTGATAGTCGCTGCTTCGCGATGCCAACACCTCTTTACATGGCACTCTAAGAAGCCTCTAAACCCTAAACCCTAAACCCTAAACCCTAAACCCGAAACCCTGAACCCTTTATAGGGTTCTTAAGGGAGATGGGGGGGTTCAAGGGGAGTATGTTCCCTAACACTCCCTACTACTCCCCTAGGCTCCCAAAGCTTATTTAAGGGTTCCCTAGGTACCTACCCGGACCTACCCCCCCCCCCCCCCCCATGAACCGCCTCCCTTAAGAACCCTATAAGCCCTAACGCCCTAAAACCAGGCAAGCTTTGATGTCCCCATGGGCAACGACAGAATATGGACAGCTCAGCGCCGCACGCATGTATATTGTCTTGGTAGCCCAGTAGCCCAGTGGCCATATTGTAGTAAGGGCACCCTTCTTGAGGGTTGGTTACTTGATAAGGGAACCCAGAACCAAACAAAACGTTGTTTGAAGCAGGGCGGCTTTCTGGTTCAGGGTTTAGGGTTGAGGGCGTAGGGTTTAGGGCTCAGGGTTGCACCCCCCACCCCATACCCCCCAACGCAGTGCCTGCTCACCCGTGCTCTTCGCACGGATTTGCTCCTGACGAACAGACAACTGGGAACCCTCATCCGTAAGCCCGAAATCCTATATGTTCAAGGCTTAGGAGGACCCTAAATCATCCTAAACCCTAAACCCTAGACCCTAAACCCTAAACCCTAAACCCTAAACCCTAAACCCTAAACCCCAAAATTGCTTCCCTCAGATGCTCAACGGCCTCAATCCTACATGATGCTGCTGAGGCTAAGCTTCAAGGCTTGGGAGTCTAAGGTATGCAGCACCTCACAAAACCAGAAAGAGCCTCAGAGTTCAACCCTAGACCCCAGACCCTGAACTCTGAACCCTAAACCCTAAACCCTAAACCCTGAACCCTGAACCCTGAACCCTGAACCCTAAACCCTAAACCCTAAACCCTGAACCCTGAACCCTAAACCCTAACCCTAAACCCCAAAACGCCTCTCCAAGCCACGTAATCCCTCAACGCACTCGGCAGAAACCAAACCATGCAAAGCTGGGCTCCTTAAGGCGACGTACCTCCCAGGAGACGTAGCCTGCGGGGTTTAGGGTGTTTAGGGTTTAGGGTTTAAAGGCATCAAGGTTTAGGGTTTAAGGTTGTAGGGCTTCAAGCGTACTGAATCGACACTGTGTGCAGCTTTGTTTTTTTTCAATTCTTAAAGGCGACGACGCGGGGACGGAGACAGCATTGGGTTCAGGGCTTAGGGATTAGGACTGTTGTCATTGGCTTGCTGGCTGAGTTTCGCCTCTTTGGGTACTAGGCAGCCCTGCAATATTCCCCGGAGCGAAGTCTTCGGGGCAACTGCGAGCGGGGTTTGTGGACCCGATGATGTGATCGCGCCTGAAAATCGCTGCATCAAGGTTACCCACTTTACTCGAGAAGAAGCCAACTCTCGGACGTACGCGCACCCCTAAACCCTAAACCCTAAACCCTAAACCATAAACCCTAAGCCCTAAACCCTAAACCCTAAACCCTAAACCCTAAACCCCAAACCCTAAACCCTAAACCCTAAACCCTAAACCCTAAACCCTAAACCCTAAATCCTAAATCCTAAACCCTAACCCTAAACCCTAAACCCTAAACCCTAAACCCTAAACCCTAAACCCTACACCCTAAACCCTAAACCCTAAACCCTAAATCCTAAATCCTCGAACCTCTACCCAGACCCCCTGGGAGGATCCCAAAAGTCCAGCCCCCAAAATAGTGCCCTCTACTCCTATTGGGTCATTCTTAGGAACCCTACAGGGACTCTAAGATCCTCCCAGGGAGGGTTTAGGGTTTAAGGTTTGGGGTTTGGGGTTTAAGGTTTAGGGTTCAGGCTCAACTCTCAAACCCCTCGTACATGAACCCTGAACCCTGAACCCTAAACCCGGAACCCTAAACCCTAAACCCCAAACCCAAAATCTCAAACCCTAACCCTAAACCCTAAACCCCAAACCCTAAACCCCAGACTCCCCCCAACTGTTGTAGCCCATGGAGCCTTTCTGGACCTCCTCAATGCACAGCCGCTCCTGCACCAGTTGGGTCGCCTTGCACCAGGAATTATTTGTTTAGGGTTTAGGGGTTAGGATTTAGGGTTTAGGGTCTAGGGTTTGGGGGGTTAGGGTATAGGGTTTGGTGTTTAGGGTTTGCATCTACTTCTTTTGGGGGTGTTTAACGGGTGGAGTTTTTTTTTGGGTCTTTTTTTTTTTGGGGGGGGGCATTTTTTTTTTTTTTGTCGATTTCCTTGGTTTTCTCTAGGAAAAACCCTACTTTCCTTACATTTTGGACGGATTTTCTGTCATTTCCCTGAGGTTTTCGTTGGTTTTTCATAGGGAAAAACCTATTTTTTTACATTTTGGACGGATTTCCTGTAATTTCCCTTAGGTTGAAGCACGCTCTGCACGGCTTGAAAAAAACGCGGGGGGGTTGGGGGGGGCGCAGCCCCCCCCCATTTGCAAACACAATGCTCACACGATGTTTTTCAACTAGTTTCTTGGGCTTTGAAGCACGCTTGGTACGGCTTAAAAAAAGCGAGGGGGGTTGGGGGGGGCGCAGCCCCAGCCCCATTTGCAAACACCCAGCTCACATGATGGGTGTCAACAAATTTCTTGGGCTTTGAAGCACGCTCTGCACGGCTTAAAAAAAGCGGGGGGGTTGGGGGGGGCGCAGCCCCCCCCCATTTGCAAACACAATGCTCACACGATGTTTCTCAACTAGTTTCTTGGGCTTTGAAGCACGCTTGGTACGGCTTAAAAGAAGCGGGGGGGGCGGTTGGGGGGGGGCGCAGCCCCCCCCCCATTTGCAAACACCATGCTCACATGACGGGTGTCAACAAGTTTCTTGGGCTTTGAAGCACGCTCTGCACGGCTTGAAAAAAACGAGGTTTTCGTTCGTTTTTCCTAAGGAAACCCTCTTCTGATTACATTTTGGACGGATTTCGTCAAACGTCAAAGCGTACGTTGCTTTTCCTTAGTTTGTCCTAGGGAAAACCCTATTTGGTTCGTTTTCTTGGTTTCTATCATTCCCTCTATATTTTCATCGGATTCATACTTTTTTTTCAACTAGTTTCTCGGGCTTTGAAGCACGCTTGGTACGGCTTAACAGAAGCGGGGGGGCGGTTGGGGGGGCGCAGCCCCCCCCCCCATTTGCAAACACCCTGCTCACATGATGGGTGTCAACAAATTTCTTGGGCTTTGAAGCACGCTCTGCACGGCTTAAAAAAAGCGGGGGGGTTGGGGGGGGCGCAGCCCCCCCCCATTTGCAAACACAATGCACACACGATGTTTTTCAACTAGTTTCTTGGGCTTTGAAGCACGCTTGGTACAGCTTAAAAGAAGCGGGGGGGTTGGGGGGGGCGCAGCCCCCCCCATTTGCAATGCTCACACGATGTTTTTCAACTAGTTTCTTGGGTTGGGAAGCACGCTTGGTACGGCTTAAAAGAAGCGGGGGGGGTTGGGGGGGGTCGCAGCCCCCCCCCATTTGCAAACACCCTGCTCACATGATGGGTGTCAACAAGTTTCTTGGGCTTTGAAGCGCGCTCTGCACGGCTTTAAAAAAAAAGCGGGGGGGTTGGGGGGGGCGCAGCCCCCCCAAATTCGCAAACACAATGCTCACACGATGTTTTTCAACTAGTTTCTTGGGCTTTGAAGCACGCTTGGTACGGCTTAAAAGAAGCGGGGGGGGTTGGGGGGGGCGCAGCCCCCCCCCATTTGCAAACACCATGCTCACATGATGGGTGTCAACAAGTTTCTTGGGCTTTGAAGCACGCTCTGCACAGCTTAAAAAAAGCGGGGGGCGCCAGCCCCCCCCCCAATTTGCAAACACAATGCTCACACGATGTTTTTCCACTAGTTTCTTGGGCTTTGAAGCACGCTTGGTACGGCTTAAAAGAAGCGGGGGGTTGGGGGGGGTGCAGCCCCCCCCACCATTTGCAAACACCCTGCTCACATGATGGGTGTCAACAAGTTTCTTGGGCTTTGAAGCACGCACGCTCTGCACGGCTTAAAAAAAAAACAAAAAAAGCGG